CAGGGTACGAGGACTCAGATGCAGCCGGGGGGGGGGGGCAGAGTGTCCCCTGGGGGGAGACCCCAGGGAGGGAGAACGTCTTTCTCTTCAAGGCTGTGGAGTGGTGGGGAGGGTCTGCCTGCGGGAGGAGTGTGCTGCCTGTCCCTGGAGTGTCCGAGGCGCCGAGTAACAACACGCTGGCCTTGACATTCTTCCCTGTGAAGTGGGAGTAGCAACAGTGCTGACCTCGCCACGAGAAAGAGCCAGTGTGTCCTGGATTCTGGCCTGCATGTCTGTCCGCCTTCTCGGGGCGAGCTTCCTTCAGGACCCTGTGGTGGGGGAGGCTGTTCTGCTGTCCCCGGGCCCACTGGGGTCAGTGGTGCAGGGTGGTCCCTGTCCTGTCTGCTGCCTGGAGCCTGCCAGGCCATTCTTTTCTGCTCGAGGAGACCAGCTTCTCTGGCGGCTGCTCCGTGAATCATCCTTGGGACTGGCTCAAGAATGTTGGCCACAGCAGGCTCTCTCCAGCTCCCTCTCACTCCAGCCTCGGGCCGGCCTCACTGCCAGACCCTGAGGGATCCGGGGGCTGGCCCAGGAGCCTCCCCAGCATCTGCTGCCCGACGCTGGCCCCTCCTGTGGCTCCCTGTGGGCCGCATCCTGCTGCTGTCTTGCAGGGCCAGGGTCTTCCAGGGCCTCCCCGGGCGTGTCATCTACACTGAGTTAGCATCTGGGAAAACCCCTCCTGGTTACTCAGCCCTGCTCCCACCCACCCTCCTACGATAAAATCCAGCCTCCTCACCCTGGACCTGCAGCTCTGGGCCCTGCCCACTCCTCCTAGCCCCTTCCTGTCCTGTCCTGTCCCATCTGGCTTCACCCACCACCTGCCTGTGGCCGCCTCCTGCCCCTCCACTGATAGGCCTTTGACACCTTGAGACCCTGGTCACTGCTGGTTCCTCCACCCAGAATACTCCTTCCTCTGTCCCAGATGCTCCTGTTATTTATCCCTTTTCCTTGCTTGTTAGTGTGAGCACCACGATGGCAGGCTCCCCCTCCAGGCTGCACCCCCTGTGCTCAGGTAGCTTTTGAATGAATGAAGCAGAGCCCCTAACCCAAAAGGCAGTGGCAGACACAGCCCCGAGACCCGCTGCAGACCTGCCAGGCTGAGCAAGTCAAACTACAGGCTGTCTGGTCGAACTTGAATTTCAGATGAACAGTGAATGGTGTTTTAGCATAAGCATGAGGGTACTTCAAAAAGTTCATGGGAAAATAGAATTAAAAGATGATACAGGGGCCAGCCCAGTGGCGCACTGCTACAGTGCGCCGCTTGGGAAGTGCGGTGGCACTCCTGCCAAGGGTTTGGAGCCCACATACAGACCGGCCGCTCACTGGCTGAGCGAGGTGCGGGCACGACACCGAGGGTTGCGATCCCGTTGCCGGTCCCGGTCCGGTGTGGGCGCGACACTGAGGGTTGCGATCCGTTGCCGGGCACGAAAAAAGACAAAAAGGAAAAAAAAAAAAAAAGATGATACAGGTGTTTCCATGATCTTTTTGGAGTACCCTCGCGCATCCAGACAGAACCGGGCCGCCTGTGTTTTACCCGGCAACCCTCCCTTCCCCCACTCTTTAATTTTATTCATTCACATGGTTGACAATTCAAAAGGTATGAAGGGCACATTGTAGAAAGTTCTCCTTGAATCTTGTCCCCTGGCCAGAGTACCCCCCCCCCAACAAAGGGGACCAGTGTGGTGAATTTCTTGTATCCCACTGAGATTTTTACTCACATGGAAGCAAATTGAGAGGCTTACCTGCCTTCCTCACCAAGGTGACAGTGCGTGCCCTGCACACAGTGGCACATAGTGGCACGCCTGGCTTCCTTGCCCCGGGAGGCTTGGACACGCTGCTCCTGTGTGCACAGCACTTGCCCTGGCATTCAGATGTAGCTCCCATTGGTTGGCATGGAGGTTGCTTCCCAGCAGTGGCCTCTATAGACTCTGACTCACGCCGTCTCTACGTGCGTGAGGACATGCAGGGGTGGCTGTCCAGTAGGGACCTGTCCAGGTCCGGGTCGCGCACAGTGGCCTGGGGGGGGAGGTGGAGGTGCCCCCCCATAGGGCTCGCACCGAGTCTATGTCTGTTCTGAACAGGCGTGTTTTTACTTAGAACCAGTGGGTTTTTAGAACACACTTACTTTATTTCTCAGGGAGCTGGTGTATGGCTTCCCTGCTCTAAGAGAAGTGCCAACCACCTTGACCTTGAATGGCTGGGTAGGTGGAGTGGCCAATAGTGGAGGGGAAGACAGAGAAATATGCAGTGTGTCCCCATAGCCCCCAGGTTGCTCACTGCAGGGCCCAGCATGTTCTTCAGACCCTGGGATACGCACTGAGACCAAACTCTGCATCGTCCCCTTGGTTTAGGCAGATAGACCCATCTAAGGGTTTAACATGTTTTTATCCTATGAGGAGGCGAGAGGTTTCCAGGAACATTGCTGCTTGTGGCTTAGCAAGTGTTTGTGGCTGTAGGTGCTGGTCCCTGGGGGTGTTAGCAGGGGCCAGGAGGAGATGGGGACTCCTGGAGGGCAGGAGTTTTGGGGGGTGGGAAGGGAGACTCAGCAGACCTTGAGATGGCCCAAGCTCATCTGGTGGCCTTGGGGGTCTTTCTCTTCCCTCCCCCTCTTCCAGTCCTGCCTGGCCATCCGGACTGGGAAAGGCCCCAGGTGTGCCCTTCCTGTGGGGCTTTTGGGCTCTGTGGCATTAGTGGAGGAGGCAGAGCTGGGCTCTCATTCAGGGCCTGGCTGAGCCACTGAGTCACTGGTGTGGGGCTGGGCCATGGCAGGCATGTGGCAAGTAATGGGCCCGTGTGTGATTTGGGGGCCCTGAAAGTGGAACTCAGTAGAATGCTGCCCTGGGAGGTGGGGCTGGCCCCTTGGCTGGACGTTTCTCTGTTCTGAGCTGCAGGCCGGCACCCCTCTTCTTCTAGCTGCTCCCCACAGGAAGGGACGGTTCGAACATGTGCCGGCCACATGTGGCTGGGTGAGGCAGGATGCCTGTGGCTTTCCTGGGCGCCACCTCCCCAGGGTGCCTCCATGGAGAGCGGCTGATGGAAGTTCAGGTCCCTGAAACTGTCTGGTTCCAAAGAACCTCAAGGGCCAAGTGGGGTCTTAGACTTAGGACCGTAACCTGCATCTTTCCCTGGGGAGGCAAAGAAGGGTCTGGGGCTGTGCACAGTGGTGAGGGTGCCTCCATGGAGAGCGGCTGATGGAAGTTCAGGTCCCTGAAACTGTCTGGTTCCAAACAACCTCAAGGGCCAAGTGGGGTCTTAGACTTAGGACCATAACCTGCATCTTTCCCTGGGGAGGCAAAGAAGGGTCTGGGGCTGTGCACAGTGGTATATGACCACCAGCCTTTTCCTAACCCAGGGCAGGGACAGGGCACTGAGCCTGGGCCTCCCCTACATCCCAGCCTTGGCTGGTCCCCGATGGCAGCCTGCATGCCAAGGGGACCACAAGTTGAGAAACTTTTTTGTCCTTCTCCCAGAGCTCTGGGCAGTGTTGTGTTTTGGGGAGTGCAGGATGGGAGTGCAGCCTCTTCCTGGGCTGAGAGGGGAGGGGTGGGACGGCCCATGTCCACCTCTGCCCACAGAGCCAGCAGCCGCCCCCACCTAGCCAACACCTCCCCAAGCCCAAGGGGGACGCGGCCCTGAAGATGCGGGCATCGGTGCGCATGACCCGCTACCTCGAGTCCTGGGGCGCCGCGCGGCCCTTTGCGCACCTCAACCACCGTGAGAGTGTGAGCAGTGGCGAGACACCTGTCCCCAATGGCCGGAGGCCCAAGGTAGTCCCTTCCTGCCCAGAGAGCTGAGCTAGGATCAGGGGCCTGAGGATGGGCGGGAGGGCCATGTTGAAGGCATCCTTCCCCTGGAGCCTCTCTTTTTCCATCTGGAAGATGGTTACAGTCTCTGCCCTGCTCCCCTGGGGCTCTTGGTGAAGGGAGGGTAATTGGAGAATACCCCAGGGTGGCTGGGAATGTCCCTGTCCTCCTTGGTCCACAGCCCACATTCAGCTTTAGTTCAGGATGCCTGCAGCTTGGACAGTCCCCAGAACCCTGCCCGTGTATCTGAGCGAGCCGCAGCTAGAAAACCCAGTGCAGCAATGGACTCAGGCCCCGCGTCCTGGGACTAACTGTCTCCTCTCCTCCCTCCCCTTTCAGGCCATTCCCCTGCGGCGCCACCGGACCCCGGACAGGTATGTGAACTGCCCCTCCCCTCTGTCACGCTGTACCCCGTCCTCCTCGTGTCCCAGTCACCTCCTCCAGGCAGGCTGCCCTGAACAGCCTTTATCCAGGGGAACAGCTCCGTGAGGCCCAGCCCAGGACCTCTGTGGAGTTTGCTGCAGCTCGGGCCAGAGTGTTTCTAGGAAACAGACTTCCTGGTCCCTGGCTCTTCTGGATGGCTGTGACTAAGCTCCTGTCGTACACCCACCCTGTGGTGGGGTCAGTGGGGTGGTGGGAAGGAAGGAGGTGTTGGTGGGTGCTCTGGCCTCTATGCTGACCCTGTGGGTATAGCAGGAGAAGCCTCAGACGCGAGGGGTCGGGGTCTCCCTCTGCCTTTCACTGGGCTGCTGGCCAGCTGGGGGATGCTGGGCCTTCACTTGCCCTCTCTGGGCCCCAGGGGTATCCACCATCCCTTCACCATCCCGTGTGAGACTCTGGACCCCTGTTAGGCACCTGGTAATGCCACTGGTTCGTTGTCTGATCTACACTCCTGCCTCTGGGCCAGTGGATGTGGGGTCTCTTGGGTGATGCAGCTGGGGTGTCTGATTCCAGGAGTGCATCCCCCAAGGGGCGGTCGGAGGATGACTCGTATGATGACGAGATGCTGTCAGCCATCGAGGGGCTCAGCTCCACGAGGTGAGGCCCCTAACCTCTGCCCTGCCCCCCTCAGATGGGGATCCCCATGTGGGCAGGCCCATCTTGTGCCCTCAGGCCTGGTGGCCAAGCTCCAGCTGTGGGCCCGGGTAGCCCCTTCCCCCTCCTCCCGCTGCCTCCCACCTCCGCCCCACAGGCCCTGCTGCTCCAAGTCCGACGACTTCTACACCTTCGGGTCCATCTTCCTGGAGAAGGGTTTTGAGCGAGAGGTGAGGCCCCCTGAGCAGCCTCCACCGCAGAGGAGCAGGGTCTCCCAGGCCTGGGGTGGGGCAGGGGCACGGCCATGGGAGCCAGCACTCCCATGAGACAGACGTGCGCAGGGAGTGTCCACAGCTGGCTGTTGGGGGTGGATGGGGGCTTGGCACAGTCCTGACTTGTCCCTGCTGCCTCAGCCCTCGACCTGAGGTGCCCCATGCGGGTTTGGAAGACTTTTGCTTTGTCAAATGCCGGAACCTCGGCTGATACGAGCCATTGAACGCATGGTAGCCTCACAATGACAAGAAAACCCAAAACTGGGTATCACATTGGAGGGTCCCGCCTGGCTGCTACATGATTTTTTTTTTTTTTTTTTTTTTTTTTTTTTATGGTAATGACTGTTTTTTTATTGAGTGTCTCTGGGTCTGGCAGTGTCCCGGGCACGTGTGTTACGTGATTTATCGTCACACAGGCGGTAGGAGCACCTCACCTGCAGGAGGAGCCTTCATGGGGCTGTGACCACATGATGGTGCCTGTGTGGCAGGGGCAGTACAGGGGTCCCCCCGTCTGCCAGCTCAGGGGCTCAGGCCCAGTCTTACTCCTTGGTTTGGGGGGAGGACAGACCCATCACCAGTCCTGGTCTCAGCAGTCCTGGGAGCTCAGACTTAGTTCCCGTCCATAGACTTGGGACCATGGGCTTTTCAGGGACCTCGGAAATAAAGTCAGACACCTGGGCGGGTAGAGGGGAGAGGAAGGTATTGCCTCTAAATACAAAAAAGAAACTGCAAAATGGAAATGAATGAAAGTTACTGAATGTAACATCACCCAGAACTCCAGGAGGGGTGTGAGGTTTTTATTTTCAGGATGATTAACTTGAGCTGGGCAGGGCCTGTGAAGGGGTCGGAGCAGGTGGCCCTGCACATGGCCACTCCTTATGGTCGTTGTTGCTCTCAGTACCGCCTGGCGCCCGTCCCGCGAGCCCGCTACGACTTTGCCTGTGCCAGCCTCATCTTCATCTGCATCCTGCTCGTGCACGTCCTCCTGATGCCCAGGTCAGTCAGGTGGGAGGATGGTCAAGCCCCCTGGAGTCCAGGCCGGGTGGGGCGGTGACTTTGGTAGCACCCACCAGAAAACTGCAAGGAGCTGCCTGATCAGACTGGCGGGGGCTGGCTGTTAGAGTTCAGAAGCTTTAGACCGTTGGAGTCCCAGCATCTGTACTGGGGTTGTGGCCCCTACTGCCGGAGTCACCAGCACTTCTGTCTCAGGCCTCCCTGTGCCCTAATGTCTCTCACCTGTTATCTCTGTGACCCTGTAGGCATGCTAGTTTGTGACCCTTGCCTTTGGCGTTTGGATTTCTAGAAGTGGCGATTCCAAAAACTCTTGGCACTACCTCTTTCCCTTATCCATGGGGAAACTGAGGCTCAGGGCATTAATGATTTATCCAGGGTGGCATAGCCTGGATCAGGAGTCACTGAGATTCATACTTCTGGCTCTGGGGCCCTGTTGGTGTGGGGGACAGGGATGAGGAGGGGTGAGGTCAGCTACTGGGGGGTTTCTAGAAGGTCATTTAGGCCAAAGGATTGACCAAAATTGTGGTTTTGGATATATTTAATAAAGACAAAATTGGGAACACTTTTATATAACTTTTGTGTGCTAGACGTGAGTATAAAGGCTGCAAAGATATTGCTCATTTCTTATACACTTGGAAGGGGACATGATGTTGACCTTGATCTTCGTGTTTTGGCCAGGCCTCCTGTGTTATTAGTGGGCCAGTTGGACCACAGTTGGCAAAAATCCCCTTTGCTGTGTGCAGAATAACAGTCGGGGGTGAGGGGGAGGTGACTGTGAGCCACAGAACTGGGATGGTGGGAGGGGTCTAAGGCAGATGATCCCCCAGAACTTGGGTTTTTACCTCCTCTCCAGGACGGCGGCTCTGGGTGTGTCCTTTGGGCTGGTGGCCTGTGTGCTGGGGCTGGTGCTCGGCCTGTGCTTTGCCACTGAGTTCCTGGTGAGTGGGGGCCTTGAGCGGCTGTGCTGTGAGCCCACAGCCCCTCCCTCCCTCCCTGTCTTAAGACTCCCCTCAGGACCCTCCTGGGGAGCTTTGCAGGTCTGAGCCCCTTGCTCTGGTTAGGGAGATGGTTGCCTGCCCCTCCTGCCTTCAGGACAATTTGCTAGTGTGCTAGAGGCTTCTCCTGAGGGTTCCACCTGCCCAGGCCTGCTCTCAGCTGGTCCTCCTGTCCTGGCTGCTGGCTGTTGGTAACTCAACCCCTGTTGCTCCACAGAGGTGCTGCTCCACCTGGGGGATGCTGCGGACCATCTCCGAGAGGGTGGAGATGCAGCCCCTGCTGAGACTGTCCCTGGCGGTCCTGACCATTGGCAGCCTGCTCACTGTGGCTGTTGTCAACCTGGTTGGTTCTGGGGCAAGGAAGGTGGGCCCTGGCAGGACCCCTCCTGCCCAGGCATGCTTCCTGGGTGCAGGGAGCTGTCTTTGACCCTGGGAACCTCCAGATTCCAGAATCCTACAATCTCATTGCCTTAAAAGCTGCATCTGGTATAACCCTTTCTGGAGCTGGGTGGGTGGCCCTGTGAGGGTCCCTGTTGCAGGCTGAGAGGTCCTCACCCTTCGGTTTTCAAATGAGAACTTTGGGTGCCCAGAGAGCTTATGTGGCCACCTCACAAGGACGAGATGTTTTGAGCCACCACGATGCCCTGATATCTCATTCCTTCTTCCCAGCCCCCTGAGGAGGTCCTGCTACACCCTCTGCGAGACTCTTTTCTTCGCTAGTGGGGAGCCCTACTTCTCTGGCCCGTGCTGGTGTGCTTGCTGTTGCAGAGAGCAGCTGCAGGAGCACCTGTCCCCTGCCTGCCTTCCAGCTCCCACGTCTACAGCCAGGGCCTCTCCCCTGACCTCCATGCCCTGGACACTCTAGAGCTGCGGGTTTTGGAGTGTCCTGTGACCACCAGGAGACGGGGGCTCACTGAAAACGCTGATCTCACTAAGATCTCCACCCTGAGTCAACCTCTGACACTCCTGGGTGGCATCCGTGTGTTTTTATCTTACACCTTCTCTCCCCAGAGTCCCCTCTGTACCATGAATCTGATGGTCACTGTGGAAAGTCAGGGCACAGCTGTTGGGGCCATGCTTAGAGCTGAGCCAGGCCTGATCCTCCTGGTGGTCCCAGGCCTGCCTGCCTTAGCCCCAGCAAGTCCCAGAGTCCCCATACCCTGGACCAACCCTAACAGGGGCCTGTCTCCTTTGTAGCCACTGACGTGTTTCCCAGCCCTTGGATGCTTAGAGCTGAGCCAGGCCTGATCCTCCTGGTGGTCCCAGGCCTGCCTGCCTTAGCCCCGGCAAGTCCCAGAGTCCCCATACCCTGGACCAACCCTAACAGGGGCCTGTCTCCTTTGTAGCCACTGACGTGTTTCCCAGCCCTTGAACTGCCTGGTGACAACGAGACAAGCCTGGTGGCTGGGAGCAGCACAGAGAGGACCCTGTGTGAGCTCCTTCCGGTGAGTGTGTTCCTCTCAGGCTCTGAGCAGCCCCGGGCCCTGGCCCAGCCCAGTGGGGTGTGGAGGAACTGAGTCCAGCCTCTCCCAGGAGAGATGGAGAAAGGGACCCACACAGGCCAGGCTGGCCTCCATCCTGCATCTGGGCGTGCTTAGTCTAAGCTGCGTGGGTGGCAGGGAGTGAGGGGCATAGTTGCCTGCTCTTTGTTGAAAATGGAGGTCAGCAAGGCCAGAGAGTGGTGCTGAAGCCCTGGGGGCTCCACCTGAGCCCCCCAGGTGGAAAGGGCTTCCTGGGAGTCAGTGTGGGTTGGTCACCAGAGCCATGCTCTTGCTCACAGCAGATGGTGGGGTGACCTTTGCTGCCCTCAGTAACGCCCCCCACCTCCTCAGTATTACACCTGCAGCTGCGTCCTGGGCTTTATCGCCTGCTCCGTCTTCCTGCGGATGAGCTTGGAGCTGAAGGTTGTGCTGTTGACCGTGGCGCTGGTGGCGTACCTGGTGCTCTTCAACTTCTCCCCGTGCTGGCAATGGGACTGTTGTGGCCTCGGCCTGGGGAACCTCACCGAGACCAATGGCACTCTCAGGTAGGGCTCAAAGCAGTTCACTGCCAGGATGCGGTCCTGCTGCCTGTCCCCACTGTGGCTGATGGTGCCACCTTTGGCCAACATGTTTTGGTGCCTATTCAAACTGAGGCACCAAAATTATTAATAGAAATAATCTTTAAAAATTATTAATAGAAATCTTTAAAAAATTATTAATAGAAATCTTTAAAAAATTATTAATAGAAATCTTTAAAAAATTATTAATAGAAATCTTTAAAAAATTATTAATAGAAATCTTTAAAAAATTATTAATAGAAATCTTTAAAAAATTATTAATAGAAATCTTTAAAAAATTATTAATAGAAATCTTTAAAAAATTATTAATAGAAATCTTTAAAAAATTATTAATAGAAATCTTTAAAAAAATTATTATTTACATTCTAAAATATTGTTGTGGAGCGGTTGGGGGGAGGGAGGAGGGGGAAGGGGATATGGTGGGAGGAAGAGGAAAGGGGGGCATGGTCGAGGCCCGTGGCATCCCCCTCATCCTGGCAGGGAGTCCAGGGGCTTCTGGCAGTGGCTCAGTCGTGGCTTGGCTGGATGTAGCCTTTGGGAGTGTGTGGCTGAGGCCCTCAGCATCCCCCAACCTGTGAGCCCAGGGCACTTCCAGTGGCAGCTGGTGGTCATTGCTGGGCTGGATGCGGATGTCAGGGAGGTGCGGCTGAGGACTTCGGCCCCCCATTGCCCTGGCTTGGGTGCCTAGGGTACGTCTGGAGGTGGCCTGGCAGTTGTGACTGTTTTGGTGCCTATTCAAACTGAAGCACTTTTACACTCACAGTCCCACTGAGGCTGGACACTTTTTGGGGTGGGACTGACAGATGGCAAAGTGTTCACTTTACAGAAGGGACAGTGACTTGCCCAGGTCCCAGGTCTCCAGCACTTGGAGCTGAGGAATGTGACTCTTTGCAGGTTATCTGGGAGAAGTCCTTGGTCCTATGGAGGCCACCAGGCCATTCTGTTCTAGGCCACTCTAGGGTGGAGAGGGGGACTTTTTGAGCTACATCCTGGGTCTCCAGGGCTATGGAGAGTGGTGGTTTCTGGTCTCTTCCTGGACAGGTGGTGATAGCTGGGGCTTGGAAAGGGTGGTGTGTGCGTGGTTCCGGAGGTGGGTGGTGTGTGCATGTAGATGGGGGCAAGGGGCCTGGTTCTCCTCAGACTAAAAGGCTGGAAGCTTGGGGACCCAGAACCAAACCTGCTGCTGTGGGTCTGGCTTGCCCCTTCAGAACCCTTATGCCAATCTCCAAGTCCCTTCCCTGCCTAGCCATCTGCTCAGGCTCCCCATGTGGCCTTTTGCCGTGGCTGATTATGTCACTCAAGGGTGAGCTCACCCCACCTCCCAGTTCTCCTCCCCTCACCCTGTTTTCTTCACAGCCCAAGTTGTCTTGTTCTGCCTAGCCATCTGCTCAGGCTCCCCATGTGGCCTTTTGCCGTGGCTGATTATGTCACTCAGGGGTGAGCTCACCCCACCTCCCAGTTCTCCTCCCCTCACCCTGTTTTCTTCACAGCCCAAGTTGTCTTGTGTACCATCTACCCCACAGCGCTACGGGCCACACAGCACATGTAGGCAGACTGGGGTGTTGGGCTGTACACTCCTGCCCTGGGGGCTGGCGGGCACTGGGAGTGACTCTAGCCTCCCTTTATACCCAGCAGTGCCCCCAGCTGTTCCTGGAGTGACCTGAGAACCATGATCTATTTCTATCTGGTCCTGTTTTATGTCACCCTCCTCATGCTCTCCAGACAGGTACAGACCTAGAAATTACCCCGCATTCCTTGCTGTACTTGGAGAGGGAACAGGGCTGGGGTGGGGGTGGCCTCAGAAGCTCTGGTCCCAGGTCCGGGGGCTCCAAGTCAGTGTCCTCATCTCCCCCAGGACACAAGGGACAGACTGCACTGACTGGGAGATGCCTGCCAGTCATGGGCACAGGGTGGGCTGCACGGGTGGGGGTCAGCACCGAGGGCTCCCGCTGTGCTCGCCAGCCCTGGGGTGCGCATGTCGCCCTGCCCTGCTCACCCTTGGACAGCACACTTGCAGATTGACTATTACTGCCGCCTGGATTGTTTGTGGAAAAAGAAGTTCAAGAAGGAGCATGAGGAGTTTGAAACTATGGAGAATGTGAACCGCCTCCTTCTGGAGAACGTCCTGCCAGCCCATGTGGCTGCCCACTTCATTGGTGACAAGTTAAATGAGGTGTGGTGGGAAGGGGCTCAGTCACTGGGGTGGGGAGGAGACTGAGGTATAAGTGTGTGGTCCCACGGGTGAAGGGGTGTGGCTGCAAAGTACCTTCCATGTTGGCCTCCTGAGGTCTCGGCCTCATGATATACCCAGCAGACTTGTGTAGTATTAGCTGTAAGAACATGGGCTGGGAATCAGAGACCGGGTTCAAGTGTGGTTGTGAACAAGACACCTCACTCTCCGCGGCCTTGATTTTCACCTCTGTGGAATGGGCTGACTGTACTTACCTGCAGGATTGTTGTGAGGATCCAAGTGTTCAGATGTTTGTAATCTGGACATTCTGTACTCATTAAAACCTATTTCCACCAGTTCTGTGTAGCAGGACTTTTCTAGGTAAGGAAACTGAGGTCCAGTGATTTCTTAGTATAGAACCCAGGTCTCCTGATGGTTACCTCCTGCTACCCCAGGGGTTCTCAACCTCAGCTACACACTCAAAAGAGCAGAACACCAACCTGAGCCTGACCCTCCCCGACCAGCTGGTTCAGAATCGCCCCACGATCTGACAGTCCCCAGACAGATCTCAGCACAGCTGGACTGGGAACGGCTGCTCAGCCCTGCCTGGCCCCTCACAGTGTGAGACACCCCAGTACCATCTGCTTCCCCTGTCCCTGCAGGAGGTTCAGTGGCCATAGGTCCTGTTTCTTCCCTACCCTGAATGCAGGACTGGTACCATCAGTCCTACGACTGTGTCTGTGTCATGTTTGCATCCGTGCCGGATTTCAAAGTGTTCTACACAGAGTGTGATGTCAACAAAGAAGGGCTCGAGTGCCTGCGCCTGCTGAACGAGATCATCGCTGACTTTGACGAGGTACAGCCTCCAACCCAGCCTTGCACATGGCAGCTCTTGGCTTTCCCACCTTGCTGGGAAGGGCAGGGGGGAGACAAGGGTATTCTCAACCACAAGAAAAAATGTGACATGGCTCCCCTGGGGGCAACATGCATTACAAAAAGTATAAAAGGCATAAATTTGTCTTTTTCATTGTTTTATTCAGCAAATATTTGTAACGTGTTCTCTGTGATGGGCAGCTTGCTAAGATTAGATCTAGGTCCTTGTAGAATAATTTGGTTTCCAGCTAAGCTCATGCTGTCAGACTGTTTCAGAGGACATCAGTTTGGGCTTAACTCTTTGCTGGGGACAAATAATCCACATTCCTGTGTAGATAATGCTGAGTTGTGTGTTTGCTCTTTAAAAAGACAATGGAAGGGATGAAAAAGAGAATGTCAGAGAAGGCTGAGATGACAGGAGCAGGAGAGTGCCCAGAGGCCATGTTCCCACTTGCACTTAGTTATGAGCTCTGATGGGAAGGGCCACAAACGAGACATGGCTGCATGACAAGTGGAGGGAGGAATCCTATGCCCTTCCTCAGAATCTGCGGCAGGCCTGGGCTGCAGCTGGGGAGGGGCACGGCCCTGCCTTACTCTGCCTCTTTGTGATTCCACAGCTTCTGCTAAAGCCCAAGTTCAGTGGAGTGGAAAAGATCAAGACCATCGGCAGCACATACATGGCAGCTGCAGGGCTCAGTGTCACCCCAGGGCACGAGAACCAGGTACTCATGCCCCACCTGAGGGGAAATCCAACCGACCCCAAACCTGTCACCATTCTTAAAGGGGATGCCTCCCTATCCTGTCCTGCAAGGGAGGGGCAAAGGCTCTTGTAAGACTCAGCCTGGAGACTTTTTGAGGGGAGGGATAGGTGCCCTCCTGGGAGCAGGGCAGCCCCGTGGAGAAGCCTCTCTGCACAGGAACCACACTGATGCTGGTGTGCCAGTGCCCACCAGGTCAGGGTGCGCTGGGCTGTCCTGCAGGACCTGGAGCGGCAGCACGCCCACATCGGTGTCATGGTGGAGTTCAGTATCGCCCTGATGAGCAAGCTGGACGGCATCAACAGGCACTCCTTCAACTCCTTCCGCCTCCGAGTCGGTGAGGGCCTGGGCAGGATGGCCAGGCCTAGGATCTATGGGGAGGGACGTGCAGACCGTGCCTCCAGACAAGCCACGCTCGGTCTGTGTGGTGAAGCCATCTGCATGAAAAGTTTTAGAAAGCCCTCTCTGATCCCACAAGCCCAGTGGTTGGATAATTATTCTCACCTCCTTCCATACCACTTACATAGTTATTTTGAAAGTTTTAAGCAAGAAAGAATATATCACTACAGAAGATGGAGAACCAAAACCACCATCTATACATAGGTGACCTTAAAACACAGAGAACAAAGCAAAGTTATTAAACTTAACTCGTCAAAGGGTCGGTGCTCAAAGCCTATTTTGTTAAAAGGGATATTAGCAGATAGTAGAAAAGTGTTAACATCAAATCCAGCCTTCTTGAGTATTGGAAAGTCTGAAGAACTGGCCAGGGAACGCCTCTGTTACATTCCAAGTATAATCTCCTGTGCAGAATTTAGGAAGCAGTCCCAACCTAACTTTCATTTTAGTTTTGTTACTGCCTTCTGTGGTTGGGGGATGGATTCTATGATCTCCCCTAAGGGCAGAAGCCTGAGGCTTTGCCTCTATGATCTTTAGGCATAAATCATGGGCCTGTGATAGCTGGAGTGATTGGGGCACGAAAACCTCAGTATGACATCTGGGGAAACACGGTCAATGTTGCCAGCCGCATGGAGAGCACTGGAGAACTTGGGAAAATCCAGGTAAAAACGCATCAGGGAAGCATGTGACCAAAGGGGAAAGAAGGTCCCCAGAGGTGAGGGGTCCTGGGCCTCAGACCTGGCTGTACCACCATTCAGCTGTGTGCGTCTACCTGTCAAACAGTTGAAAGCAGACACCTACGCTGCTCACTGGCCAATTTCTGTCCCTACCACAGCAGGTTTGCTTCCTTCTTCTGAAGACTTAGTTTTCTTTTCCTTTTCAGGTTACTGAAGAGACCTGTACCATCCTCCAGGGACTAGGGTATTCTTGTGAATGCCGTGGACTGATTAATGTCAAAGGCAAAGGCGAACTGAGGACGTACTTTGTCTGTACAGACACTGCCAAGTTTCAAGGGTTGGGGCTGAACTGAGGGCTTCTGGTGGACTCAGAACATGCTGGGAAGCCAATTTCCTTCCCTGAAGTAAGCCAAGGAGAGGGCTCAGTCCTGTGCCAGTCGCAAATGCATTTTAGGGGCGTATCCATGGAAGATGGCTGTATGGCTTCCTTGGACTTGTGCTAGAGGACTTCTTGGACACGTGTGCCAGATGCTGCTTGAAGGGACCACTGAGTCTAAGATGCAGTGGTAGCCAGAACCTCTGTACTGTCGCTCTGTAAGGTTTCCAGGTCAGCTGGAAAAGGATCACTGGTATGACAACTATATTTGTGAGTTTGAGACCTTTGTTCCCAAGATGCTGTGGAGGCGATCTTATAGCATGACCAAAACAAACGTCCACCTCCATGGCCTGTGAGCATTCACAAGGGAGATTTATTTTTGTCTAGGTACAAAGGAGGACTAACACAAGTTGTCTAGCCTTGGCTGGAGATACCCTTCTCCATAGCGGGCCTGGCCTTGGGATTCAGTGTTTCTCACACAGGCATTTCTAGCAAACAGAGGTGAAAAGGGTGTTTTACATCTGTAAATGTTTTCAAACAGTAGAGAGAAAAAAACCATAATTGACACTTGTTACTTCTTGCCATCTCTGGCAATGTTTGTTTTAAATGAACACATTATTAATGGGCGTTTTGTCCTTTTTAATGATGTCTTAGAGGCTAGACATTTTGAACCACTGACACATAAGCAGGGCTACTGTCCAGTGTCAGCTCATAGGATTAGCCTGGCTGCAGGGAGTGTTCTGAGGAATATGGCTCACAGCAAGAAGGCAGGGAGCAGTGTAGCCCTGGCTTTAAATCAGGCTTGATGCAAGCATTCTGGGGTTAGGCTCAATAAACTGAAAGCCCAAAAAATAAGGTACAACCTTTTAGCTCTTTCCTGACAACTCATGCAGTTTTGAGCTCTCCCTTGCAATCTTCAACTATGTCTTTTTTTTTTTTAAACTGGGAAGGAATGGAGTCTGTATAGAGAGAACTTGGACATAGCTAACTCTGGAGAGCTTCAAAACTAGATGCCAGATCTTTCAGCATAAGCACGTGTAGAGGTTCCCATATCTGAGAATCCAGCTCTCTCACAGTGCTAGATGTTCTTGTTCTGAACCCCAATGAGCCAAGGCAGGAAGCCAGTTTTGTGAGACGGTGTCTTGTCAAGCTCCAATTCCAGAAGGAAGTGACAGTAGTCGACCTAACAGTTTCAAGGTGAGAAACAACCAAGCTGCCTGTTCCTTTTTTGAAATGACCTCACTGCCTCATAACCAGAGGATCCCCAGGATTTCTAATGCAACTGAATTTCACTATATAGCAGGGATTCTTAGCTAGAAGTCGTCCATGTACCCCCTGAAGTTACTCAGAAAATTCTGCATACAGGAGCCTTGCCTTTAAAAGACTTTACAGGGTTGCAGACAGCCTGGTTGCAGACTAAGCCAGGTTTGTTTGTGACCAACCGGGTCCTGGGATGAGCTGCCATCCTAGTTGCAGAGTAGAGCTGTAGACAGCCAAGGCGGGTGGAGGGGACCGAAGCGGAACCTGTCTGCTTCTGCTATGTCTTGCTACAGGGCTTTATCAGCCTGAGGAAGGGGGCTTATTCTAATTGGGGCAGGCTAGTGACAGCTCTGATGTGTTGCATGTAATTGGAATCAGTACGAATACATTACAACAACTTGCTATATAAGGAATTTTATGGCAAAAACATTGACAAGGGAAATAAGTCTTGCTTAAATTGCCTTTTTACATAGCACCTTTTCACACAAAGGCCTGGTTTCAGGTGAGTACAGCACTGAAATGTGTGCTCTTGAAATCTAGTAGTGACCAGGGCTGCCCAGTGAGGGCTCTCCTGGGCAGTCAGGAAGGTTTCTGTTGCTGACATAATGTGGACACATCAGTGCACTGTGCCTCTCTGAGGCCGACATATTTCTTACAACATTCAAATTTCGTTTTTTTCTTTGGCAACAGAAATCCCAGTTGGGAGTTTTAAAAATAATTAAAGCACTATGCTCAGATAAGAATATTTTGTTAAGTTTTTAGTTTTCAACATTCAGGTCATAGTGTGTAACTGACTATAAAAATCACTTGCAGTTATTTTTATAAATCTGTTTCCAAATTATCAGGTAATTTCTTCACAGGTGTCATTTTGTTTTATGACAGGAACAGGTATCTTTTCTAACAATGACCTTCTCTACAGGTCAAGGACTTGCTTAAAATTTCTACTAAGGCAGCCTCACTGACTAGCAAAAATAACACCTGAAATTTTCTGGTTTACTCAAGGAAATTTTCTAACAGAAAAGATTATCAACAACTGTATACTTTGTATATATAATAACTCAATGTACAGAAATATGCTTTGAGAAGGAACATGCAAATAACTTGGTTTTATTCTGTATATTGAATATTTATAGATCCGTAACATTTGTTTCAAAATGTTATGTTTCATTTTTACGAAGTACCAGTGTTTAGCCGCTTATTATACATTAAATTTGCATTTTGGAAAACCTGAATGTGCTAAGGTGTTTTGAATTTAAATATCTTCTTGGTTTTAAGGAGCTTATTTTAGTTAAGTAGAACTAAAGTTTAAGAACTGGTTACTGACTAAATTATATTTGAGAGATTAAAATTAGACTCTAAAAAGACTTGATAAAAACAAATGTGAAATAAAACATAAAGTTTTAAGTAAATTTTTAAAAGATTAGGTCATCCTTAAGCTTCTAGAGAGAACTAATTTTTTCACCCTACTTGTTCTTGTTGAATGTTAATTTTCTAAATCAAGAAAATAAAATGCCTTCCTACCTGGGTATTTTACAGAAGGGCTCTGCATAAGGGTCTTAAACAGGTTATATATACTGAACCAGATTCAGGAAAAAAATCATTCATCTTAGCCTAGTGACTGGTTATAGAAGGGGACCACCTGTCTCATGTCTCCTCCTTAAGTAAATTGCTTGGACATTTGACCTCTGTATTTCAGGTAAAAGTAGATGAGTATTACTGGTTCACAGGGCATGGCTGAGGCCTAGGTGATCTCTGAGAAACAGAAACCTAAACTTACATTTAAGCTCAGTAATTCCCTGACGTATTCAAGGATGATTTATCTTATTTGACTTATCCCTTTGCTATAGTTCCAAATAACTCTCTAAAAAATGGAAAAACAAACAAAAAGCACCAGTCATGTTATAGTGCTATAAAATTCTTAGTGTGCTTTTTGGGTGTGGGGGTATGTGAGTTGGGGAGGCACCTAATTACTGTACACAGGACATCATTCTCATCAGGCGGTTAAAGGGCAGAACCATACTTGTAAATTCTAAAATTATTTTAAAGTGTATAAGGATGATTTATCTTATTTGACTTATCCCTTTGCTATAGTTCCAAATAACTCTCTAAAAAAATGGAAAAACAAACAAAAAGCACCAGTCATATAAAATTCTTAGTGTGCTTTTTGGGTGTGGGGGTATGTGAGTTGGGGAGGCACCTAATTACTGTACACAGGACATCATTCTCATCAGGTGGTTAAAGGGCAGAACCATACTTGTAAATTCTAAAATTATTTTAAAGTGTATTTTGTTTTTATGGTATAACAATGGAAACGTCACTGGGTGGGGCTATTTTTAAAAAGTTTAATTATGATTCTGTCTGGGAGACACAGGGATAAACATGAGCACTTTTTGAATAAATCATCAAGATGAGATCTGATAAGAGGAATTATTCCGTTATAGTTTCTTTAATGGGGAGTACTAAAAATGAGGGATTTAAATTATTTGGGGGATTTGCTTCTTTTAATGAACAATCAAAGAAAATGCTGTTTTATTTTCTGAGCTTGCTCTCTATCTCTTCATCCTCAGATTCAGCCCCAGGGAAAGGTCCAGGGGTAACTTAGTTGATATGCATAACACTCAGAGTCCCCCGTTCAGCTTTATTACCTAATAAAGAAGTCCAATCTCTGGAACATTAAAATTAATTGTTCCAAAGTTTAATTAAAAACACAATTTACAAATATTTAATATCTTCTGAAAAGCATTTCTAAGTTAAGAATGAAAAAAATATGTAAATAATATATAATCAAATACCAGTTAGCTTCAAATCCCACCAGGTCCACATTCAGCAATATCAGTCTTTTTAGGTTCTTCAAAATCTGAAAGAAAGACAGCACTTCACTCAGCACTTTTTTCCCCTTTTACTGACTTTAAAAAAAGGAAGTGAAAGTAAAGCTAGCATCCAGAAGAGTAACTGTTGACAGCCCTTCTTTACCACATTCAAGGTTAAAGACTACATACATTATTAGGTTAACATTGTAGCTTTTGTGGAAAATGTGTGAAATCTTTTAGTTCTTCAGATAAGATGATAGAAAGAAAACCAAAGGTAGTCTTCTATGTTAAAAACAGAGACAGAACCTTTCAAATGTCATCTGAAGGGAGAGGACTGATATCCTTTGACTCACAGGAGCCTTCCACTCTCCTGGATAAATAGGACACGTACCTTCTGTTAAATCTACAAAGTTGTTTTCTACGATGGGGGAAGGAATGGAAATCCCCATTGCTTTTCGAATTCCATACATGCTTACAATGTCACCTGGAGTTACTTGCTGTGCAAGTTCTTTAAGATTATTGGTCACTTGTTCAGCTAGAAAGAAAAAAAAATAGTTCAGGTATTAAAAAGTGGCCCTTTTAAGATAATTTTTTAAAAAAATCAACAGTAAATGTATGAATGCAAAAAACTGTCCAAGGTATTCATTTCAGTGTTACTTTAAAGTGGTATCATTATTCAGAAGTTTTTTCCTGTAAGCAGCCCCTGACTCTTCTCTTACAGACGTGCTACACACCGAGATGCATTTCTCTGTACGAGGGACCCAAGAGACAGATCATATTTGGAGGGGGTCTGGTGCTCAGACGCTCGTTCTGGGCATCCTGGAGCTCCCTGAGCAATTTGTCTGAACACTTGATTTCTCTACCTACATAAGGACTAAAAATAGGTGGTGGAGAAAAACCATGTAATTGTGCAACGTGGCATTACTTGGCATGCTGTGTATTTATGATTTGCCATTTCAGCTGGACCTTCACAACTCTACTCAATAGTCATTTCATATTCAGCTTCCTATACTATCCTCAAGATTTCTTTCTATCTTGCCCCTCACTAAACACATGACCTTGCTCAGCTCCTCTTTCCTTGAAAACAACACGGTTGTATAACTACCATCTACATCTCTATCTTTACTTGATCTCACTTCTCAATTTTTCTTTCCTCAGTTGAAGGGCTGTGTCTCTCCAGTCTTAAGCATCCCTTTAGGCCAGTTTCCCTCCACTCATTTAACTCACTAAAGTCTACCTTTTGCCCCAGCATTTTAGTGAACTTGCTCTGATCAAAGTTACATGTGATACTTACCAATCTCCTCTTACTGGGCTTCTACGCAGTATCTGACATTGCTGAACCGTTTCTCCTCCTGCTTATTACCGTTCCTACCTTAACTATGGGTCTTCTTCAAGGTCTGTCCTTCAACCTTTCCCCAGTCCACATGTTCTCCCTGAACAGCCTCATGCACTTTATCAACAACTACAGCCCAGATTTTGGAATTCCCGGCCTATACCTCCAACAGTGTCCCAAATCCCACTCACCACATCTGAAACCGAATGTAACTTCTTTCCCTGTCAAAGGTGTGCTCCTTTTCCTGTACTTCCTAGATGAGCTAATCCTTCTATTGCCTACCTCATGCACCAGGTCATGTCCACTTTCCTTCTACTGTACTTTCCAAATCCTTATTCTCTTCCTTCATATTGGTATGCTAGCCATTTTTTTGTTTAGACAAGTCCTTTAGATTTTCACTGTTCCCTCACCCCTCCACATTTATCATATTCTATCTTACAAGATAAAATCTCAACTTCTTAGCCCTGCACAGAAGACTGTCACTGGGCCCTTACCCACACAGCCTCCCCATTCTTCCTCTCCTCAGGGCCCCTTGGCCACCAGCTTTCTGAGCTGGAGGCACACGTGCCTTGCTCTCTCCGCTCTATCAATGTTATTACATACACATCACAGTTCTGCCCACATCAGACACCTGGCCCTGCCTGCTCGGAGAATGCCTATTCAGCCTTCCAGCCCCAGTTCAGACAGTATTGCCTCTGTGAGGATGTCCTCAGCTACCCAAGCATGAGTTTCTCCAACCTGGTGACCACAACCCCTGTATTCGCACTGTATGGTAACTGGTTTTGGCTATCTCATTTACATATGTGTCTACTGCACCAGCTACCACTAAGCTCCCCATCGGCAAAAAAAAGTTCTTTTATTGCATATGATACTAAATAGACTGTTATCATTTAGGCCTTTTAGCTTATTCTCCATTTAAATATATTTTGTAAAGAATAAAATATAATCACCTCCATTTCTTTTGCTGTGTCAAGTGTCCTAGTCTGGCTTTCGTCTTCAGGTGATGACTATAAGGGTAAAGAAAAACAACTTGATATGAAAACATACATGTAAAGGCAAATATCAAGGAAAATAGAGAACTGTCAAAAGTTTCATGGCAAGAGAAAATGAATTAGAATATAAACTACTGGAATATAATTTTCAAAGCCAAAATGAGTATAATTATTAGCATTTTAAGAGTGTTTTGTGAGTTGGGGTACTTATTTCTGGATGTTGAGATATTTCCCTGCTTGATCAAAAGCTATACACATGTTAAAGAACGTATTTGGTAATAAAAAAAACAAGTGGAGTCTGTTTTCAACAACAGGTAAATCTCTGACAAGAAGAAGACAGGAAGGAACCTTAGGGGTTGCTCTTCACTAACAGAGCAATATTCTCAGACAGCAGAGGACTACTGTAAAATATTCAAATGCTACAGAGAGTGGGACAGCTTCCCATAACCCTATTCTTCAGAGACAGAATGCATAAACAGACAACAGACAAATGCATCATGGACATCGATCACCACCTTTCTTTCCAAGTTGTTTTGTGAATTATTTAACCAATTTCTAAAAATTATAAACAACGTATCCTTATATATAACTCTTCTGTTTTCTAGGATAAATTCTGAGAAGAGGAACTGCTGGATGACAGGGCAGAGAAACTTTACATTTTGAAATATACTGCCATATCCACCAATTGAAAAATATCCAATTTTATTAGACTATTAGTTACTTCAGATCAATTGATGGGAAGGACATAATAAAAACATATTTTTGAATTGATGTAAAGTTTAATAGTTTTTAGGTCATGTCAAGAAAGCAGTTCATGTGCTAGGATTTTAGAGCAGTTGTCACTGAGCCTGTCTTGACTGAGGTACTAACCTCAGCTTTGTTGACAGGTCACCCAAGGAACAATAACCATATGTGCAGTTGTGGGCAGGGGACATAGCATTACAGTCACAGCCACTATTAAGAGTTATGACTTCTAAGCGATACAGGATTCCTCTAACTATACTGACAAGAACATTCTGAAGATCAACTCCCCTCTGCGTTAGGAACATTTTCTGGTTCCTATCTTTGAGCGGACTCTGAATTTTTCAAGATTGTGAACTATCTCCAGCTGGAGATAAAAAAGATAGCAATGAGGAAGCTTTTTACTTTTTAACTTGAGCTCCCACCACTGTGCTATTACCGCATAATAAGGAAAAGAACATTCGTCACCACTTTACCCAACTTAGTTTCAAGTCAGTGAGCAAGACTTTCCTTTTCTTGTTAGGGTATGTAGCAGCCACTGACTTCTGAGTTGTAAAACCCATTTTTGAATCCTGTATTCCCAAGATGAGGAGATAATGGCAATGCTCCAGCCCTCACAAATACTGGGAGCTGAGTTACTCCTTTCCGTTCATTGTCCTCCACCCATGGCCTCCACCCAGGCTGGGCTGTCTTTTCAGGGGAACGGAGTTCAGCTGACATACTGGTTAATCCCATGGTTTCAAAACACTGAGTGACTAATGCATAAGAGCCAATAATAAATTACCCCGTGTCTTTACCAGCATTCTTACCATTTCCAACTCTTGTAGGGTCCTAGAATGCCCTCCTTTTGTTAAAACATCCAATAAACTGTCTGCCATAACATATGGATAATCTTGGCATGTGGCCAAAAATTCATGGATACTGAAAGAGAGGGAGTTGGGAAAATCAGTTCCACATAAATCATCCCCATTGACTTAATGCTCCTATTATAGCAAAGTGTTTGTACTAGAGGCCCTTAGTTTATGCACCATGATGCAAAACTTTATATCTAGACACAACGCTATATTTACATATTTACCAGTAATAAATTTTCCATCCTGAGAGAATTAAACAGTATCAACAACACAGTCAGAATGAAATATTCCTGAGGATGCTCCAGAGAAAAGTAAGACCTCAGTGACGGGGCTCAGGGCTCAGTCCTCGGTGCTTCTTGCTCCTCCCCTTCACTTCCTCCCTAGGGTGATCTTATTCACCTCGGGACTTTCATATGTACTAAGAACTCTCAAAGGTTCGCCTCCAGTTTGGACCACATCCTTTGGAAAGCTCCATCTGGATGTCTTAACAGGCATCTCAAGTTTAAAATATCCCAAACTGTAGTCCTGAACATTAGATATTTTTTATCCATGGGGTCAGAGGGTCCTTAAGTATTTGATTCCAAATGGAAAAATAGGGGATGGAAATCAGGTATTGGCAGTTTTTCCATTTGTGTGTAAATTTTTAATATAAATGTGGGGATGTAAAGCATTAATGCAAGTCAAAATGTTTCAGTGAACAAGTTTCAGCAGTTCAACTTTATAACAATTATAAATAAACCTCTTAAATTTTTCTGGACAATGCTAACATTTGGATTGTTTTAAAACAAGGAAATGTCTTATTGATGGCAACTAAATGGTGTTTGTAGCATTTTTGTCATAAGTAGATTCCATCCATTCACTATACTTTTCTAACTGAGTTGTCCTACATGCAAGTACATGTTTTTAATGCTGTCTGTCTTCTGTGCTGTTCCTGTTAAGTTTGCTAAACTAAAAAAAAAATTAAAAAAAAAAAAATCCCAAACTGAAATGCTAGATCCCACCCCCTTGGGTAGTGTCCAAATTCTTCCCCTTGTCAGTAAACAGCAACTACATCCTTCAGGCTCAGTCTGAAAACCCTGAAGTCATCCTTGACTTCTCTCTCTCACATCCCACTTCAATCAGTAAAGAAATCCCATCGGCTAACTACTGATCCCCTCTCAACACCACAACTACTACTCCCCTGGTCCATCTCTCATCTGGATTATGACAGCAGTCTCCCAACTTCTGCCCTTGCCCCCTGCAGTCCATTCTCCATACAGCAGCCAGAGTTCCCCTCTCAACACCACAACTACTACTCCCCTGGTCCATCTCTCATCTGGATTATGACAGCACTCTCCCAACTTCTGCCCTTGCCCCCTGCAGTCCATTCTCCATACAGCAGCCAGAGTGATCCTTCAAACATTATAAGCCAGATCAGGTCACAATCCATCAGTAGTTTCCCATCTCACTTACAATAAAACTCCGAAGTCTACAAATCTTGGTATTCCTACCTATTATCTCTCTGACCACTTTCCCTTTCACTTGCTCTGCTCCTCACTGCTTTTCTTGGGGTTCCCTGAATGCACCAGTCAGGCTCCCATGTCAGGGCCTTTGCACAGCCGTTTCATCAGCTAGAATAGTCTCCTTTCAGGTGGTGGCACTGCTTGCTTCCTCACCTCCTTCCATTTTTGTTCAACTTTAACTGTCTCAGCAGACTTCCCTGACTACCCTACTGCATACCCTCCCAACCCCAGCACCTGTATCTTCCTTTCTCAAAAGCACTTGTTACCAGGGAGTAACAGGAGAGCAGGGCTCTTTGTTAGCACTGTATCCCTGTGGAATCCTCAGCATTTAGAAGAATGCCTGGCACACAGTGGGCATGCAATGCCTATTTGTGGACTGCAAACATGAATAATCCAGATAGAGTTTGTTCTAGCTGGTCAAGTCTAAAGGATATAAATGCTTCGATCTGAAACCACAGTCAATCTCTGACTTAGAGACCCCTGCCTTGTAAAATCAACAACAAAACCATGCATACTTACAGAAAAGAAAACAGATTCCCCCTTTGTCAGAAAACTAGGGGGCTCATTAATAAACAGGGTAAAATCTGTATACATAATGAAAATTAACAAGGTACCAGTGCTGAGAAGAAATAACCCAAGCTCAATGTCCGACCCTAAGCCAAAATCCTGGTAAATCAGAATGGTATCTCATTATGTTGATGAGATGCAAAGAGCTCAGCATCATAAACAGGAACACAGAAATTATCTTCCCACAGAAACACATAAGAAGGGATGGTTGAGTGTAACTGCAATAGTCTATCTGGTACATGACAGGTCAAACAGGCTTCTAAGTGGGTTGCCTTAGGGATCAAGTTATCATGGCCTGCCTCACATCTTAAGGAAAATGTGCTGTTCCCAAACTGATTTAAGTTTGGAACACAACTCACTGACACACAAAAGGTTACAGTAGAGCAGATGGCACATCAACATTTTGAAGTAACAACCTCCTGAACGTTAGTATCAGTTGAGGCACACAACATCTTTAAAAATATATTTTTGTAAGAATTAAAATACTGCAGATGCCAATATCAGGGAGTTACGTTCTCTCTGTAAAATATTTAGTGTCCATTAAAGGGTGATGGTAACTATGAGTCTATTATTATTCAAAAAAATTACTAAACACATTTTCTACCATTTATATAACCTTATAAATCTATCCACAAATATATTTTAGAAAAATGTGGTACTGGGAACATTGATGAACTGGTGACTCACCTGAAATCACTCGGAAGATCAGAGTCTTCCCCATAGGTTGAATAGATTAAATCAGAATCATCCTTGCTGATATTTGCAAACGTGGAGTCATAATGTGGTGCATAAGAACTGTAGGGTCCATAATTCAAGTATAACACTGTTGAAAAAATTAAATACTATTCAGTGAAATAATAATACTATTCCTTAACTTATATGTCAATCTATTTTCTTATTTTCTTAAAAAATTATTCCCTTCTAACTACTACTTCACTGACTGGTATGCCAATCTAAGATAGATATTTCCTCCCAAACAGATACTTGTGAAATTGCAACTCAAGTGAATTTTTCCCCACAAAGGAGACAGAGGAAAAAAAGAAAGAACAAAACTCTTCTTAAATAATAATTCTCTATTTTTCATTTTCTTCTACAGTTAACAAAATAGCTAACTGATGTTGCAAAAACACTATCTAGACAGCTAGTGAATAAAGCAATGAATGGTAATTATGCCTTCTTCCTAACTCCCTGAAACAGAAGAGGAAAAACATTACTATGCAAGGGCCTCACCTGGAGTTACTTTGTTCCTTTTATCCTCTTTGAATCCCTGCAAAGTATTCACTCCAGACTGAAGTCTTCCAGTTGTCATTCCCAGTCTTACAGGGCAATAGCCTGGTTCTAAAACATACAGCCAAGCACAGTGAAGGGGGCACATGTGGCAATGACCCATAGGGTACTCTGCTGAGTGTTTCATGTATATCACTTCATGTTATTTCCATGACTGTGAAGGAGGCTGCATAGCTATACCCACTTTTAAGACAAGAAAATCAGAGCTTAGAAAGGCAGGAATGCAGCCAGGACCAAAACCTGGACCTTTTCATTATACTCTACTGCTTCCTGGAATTATTTGTAACCATGTTACACTTCACTTAAAAAAAAGATTTTTTTTTTGGCAGCTGGAAGTTATGGGGATCTGAACCCATGACCTTGGTGTTATAAGGTTGTGCTCTAACCAGCTGAGCTAACCGGCCAGCCCCCCAAATAAGATCTTTATTAAAAAACCTTTTACTACAACTAAGAAAAGGCTGAGCTAACCGGCCAGCCCCCCAAATAAGATCTTTATTAAAAAACCTTTTACTACAACTACGAAAAGATTTTATTTATTTTTTTTTTAAAAAGATGACCGGTAAGGGGATCTTAACCCTTGACTTGGTGTTGTCAGCACCATGCTCATCCAGTGAGCAAACCGGCGGCCATCCCTATATGGGATACTAAAAAGATGACCGGTAAGGGGATCTTAACCCTTGACTTGGTGTTATCAGCACCATGCTCATCCAGTGAGCAAACCGGCGGCCATCCCTATATGGGATCCGAACCCGTGGCCTTGGTGTTATCAGCACCGCACTCTGCCGAGTGAGCCACGGGCCGGCCCTAAGAAAACATTTTAAAGTTGGGCCTTAATGTTAAGATGATGGAAATATACAGTAGAAAGGTTAGTAAAAGACTGAGTAAGGGAAAATACCTGGATTAAAAACAAGAACTCATAACACATCAAGAATAAATTAATATCTATGAAAGGCATACTTTTAGTGCCACGAGGAACAGCCTCTAAAAATGTGATCTCTGTAAACCAGGAATAAATCAAGACCTGTAATGAAGCTGGGAATATGTGATATAAGCAGAAATGATGAGGTGGGCACCTAAGAGGACTAAAAAGGATATCAGGAGAAAACATGGTCTTCAACAATATCCAATAGAAAGAGTGTTTTCTCTCCCGAAGAGCCTTGGTTTCTGTAACACGATAGCCCCGGAATACAGGCTATCGCCCCAGGTGATCAGCGTGGTAGAAGCACCTGTAAGAAACTTCACTCATCAACATCAAATCTTCCCTCCTCCTCGGTGAACAGTTTGGAATTTGGTTTCCTGACGGACACTGGTGCCAGAGCATGAAGCTGAGAAGATGAGCAAGGGCATCTTCTACCTGGAACCAGCAGCCTGCTGAGGAAGCTGCTGTTCACGGGAGGGGTCATGTCAGCTTTGGCCACATCTGATTATGCCCGTAGGAGCTGCAAACCAGACCAACAGCAGGGACCAGACACCTGGCTTCAAAGAAAGGGGCAGATCCTAAGGGATCACCTAAGTCAAGTTAGTTGCATCTCCTATCACCAAATTTTCACCACAGCTACACTAGAAAGAGCAATGTTCTCAATCCTGTGGCATTTTTTTTGACCTAAGACCATATAAAATTCTACTATGAAAACTTCACATAAAAGTAAAAATAAGGTTTGTTTTGAAAATGTAGCACTGGTACCTTTTCTTCTGTTATCTTCTCTTCCTTCAGAGAACATTAACTGGCTTGCCCTTGCTGTCTTCATATGCATCAAGCTCCATCCTACCTCAAGGATTTTTCGCCTGCTGTTGCTGCTGGTGTCCTCCCATCCCTTCTCCCCTTTTTGGAATCAACCTAAACATCATCTCTTTAAGGAAGCTTCCCTAACCCCCAAACGCTAGGTAGGTACCTTCTGTTACATAAAATCACGGCTGTTCTGTCCATCTGTAGTACTTATTCATGACAGACAAGTACTTATGCAACATTTATAGACTCTCTTTGTCTGTGTCCTCCTCCCCTTACCCAAAGAATGTAAAGGGACTCGTTTCTCCCTGTTTTGTTCCATATTATACGACTAACTCCACCTATGGCTCCTAAGACAATGCCTTGCCTATAGGAAACAATAACATTGGAGATTATTTCCTGAAGTGTACAAATTCTGTCATTATTCATTTTTGTATCACTAATTATTTCTCTCATGACAGTATGACAATGAATATTTATTAAATAAATATTCTCACATTTGCTTATCACAATACATGATTTCCCCCTCAGATGAATGACAAAAAGTTCCTATTCTTAATCAAATTTCAAAATATTTCCTATACCATCTCCATTAAAACATCCTGAGAAAACAAAAAATTTGACTGAGGTTCTAAAACAGCAATTCTCAACTTTTGTAAACCTTCTACCAACCACAGTGAAAGTCATAATGTCATTAAGTACAAATATTCCATTATAGGTAGTATGTGGCATATACATTAATTCTATTCACTGAAATGAAAAAAAGTCAGTTAAATTTATTATGTCATAATCTGAGAATATGAGATACTGCTACAAATAACTCGGCATATACGACCACAGCTAGGGCTAGAAATTACTGGCTAAATTTTTTTGGCTTTGTTAAAGGTGGGTATTAAATATTTTGGGGACTTTGAATTTTAAGGAAAACTTCATGGATAGTGCCCTATTTTAAGATGTAGTGAATGTTAGGCTAGCTGTTACCACGAAACACACAATGTCTAGTCAAGTTCTTGGTGGGATACTGACATGACTGGATTTATCCATATTCAAGCTTATTGCTTTAAAATGCTAACCCAGGTACTGTTCCTTGCCACACAGCATCAAGTTCACACACAGTCTCACTCTGTGATCCTACCGCCAATAATGGGATCCACAGGATGGAGAAGTCCCAACGTTGTTGTTCCGTCCGGTTTTCTTCTTTCAAATTCGCACTGCAATGATCCAAAGTATTCAAATGGAATAAACTGTTTTGTACAGATCATATATATATATATATATATATATGTAGCATACCAGACAGCCTTACTTTAATCAAACTAATATTATAGGTGGCTATAATCATTAAACTCAAATATTGATTTTCACACCTGTTTCCATGTATATAGGTGCTGATGAGGTAGAGTAATGGAGGTTAAGGAAATCTCAGAATTTTAAAGAGTGTGTGGTTTCCGTTAAGGCCACCACTCTATCCAAAAAGGAGAATACTGTGAACCAGGGAAGGGGAGTGACTTGCCCAAAGTCATGTATGAATCCACTGTTTTAAAACCAATGTGCTAAACAATGTGATTTCAAAAGACCAGAATGGAACCATTTTTTTGTAAGTTTAAAGTATATAGCTCACTTTGCACATTAATACATTAAATTAACTAAAAAAAGGCAAAAAACCGATAATAGAGGATAAGATTAATAATTAAGTACTTTACAAATATATTATTAATTTTTCTTCTGGGTTATACCGATGAAGAGCTCTACAGTAAATATAAATTCAAGTACACACACAATTTGAAAACTAAAAGTTTCAGATGACCTGAATCAGTAGGTATAGAAAAGAAAGGAAGAGCTCAGTCACCTGACTATTAACAAGCCGCCTAGTTAGCTTTCCTCCAGATTCCTTAACGATGCGGTCAATCTGCTCCTGCTCTCTTTCTAAATTATTGCTTTTAAATTTATCTTCAAGCATATCTTTGTCTTTCCTGAAAACACACATTAATACTAAATTAAAAAAAAGAAAAATAAGATGAAAGCATTAAAATGAATTCCAAATACAAATACAACTAAAGAGGAGATATTTGTACTGCTGCCACCAATTAAAACTTTGTTCCTATATGACCTGGTAAGGGCCCCTAACAATGCACAAACAGTTAGGCAAACCTAACATGTTGGTTACCTCCCTCCCTTTTTTGTCCAGTATTACTTGTCTTAAAGGTTTTTCTGGGTACAGTCACAAAAATGACTTCTACCTCAAACATTATTTAGAAGGGGGTGGGGTATATAATTTTTTTTTTTAAGTTTGATGTTTAGAATTTAAATTTAAAATAAATAGACATGTAAATCTTAATTACAATAATACACTGAACTTTCAAAAGGTACCAGAGGTGGGAAAGGAGGAGGGGCTGAGGGGTAAGGAGGAATTGGTAAATCAAAAAATGATTACATTGTATAATGTTGAATATACTAATTACCCTGATTTGAGCATCATATATTGTACACACGGGTACTGATATTCAACTCTGTACCCCACAAATATGCACAATCAACTGTTTCAATCAAAAAAAAAAGTGTGAATCTCAGAAACTTGTCACAAGTTTACTTTCTTTGCATCATGACAGCAAAAATCCCAAACTGCTAACTACAGCCCTCCCGAAAGTTATCAGTCACTTGCCAGGCAGTTGGGGCTGGCTGGCAGTGGTGTAAGCAGGATGGACACAGCTGTCCAGCCACACTGCTCGCTGCCTGGGAGAACCAGAGGTTCACCATTGCTCCTACAACGGACGTCTAGTGGAAAACACGCACACATCTCAGTGACAGCCCATCTATTTTGGGGATAGTTTTCACTGTACTGCTCGCTGCCTGGGAGAACCAGAGGTTCACCATTGCTCCTACAACGGACGTCTAGTGGAGAACACGCACACATCTCAGTGACAGCCCATCTATTTTGGGGATAGTTTTCACTGCGCTTTCTGCTGAACTCCTTGCTCCTTTATGAAATGAGGTAAGGAACACATGTTTTTTTCTTAAGCAAATAGTTCTATTTAAATAAACTCACTGACAATATAAGTCTCTAAAGATAACTTATTGGTTTTAAAACTACTTTAATAAGAATACACTTTCAGAACTGTTTTCTGAGCTAAATTTGGACAATTCCATATAGTGCTTTTTATAACAATGGTATCACATCATCAAACTGGATTTTCATACCAAAAAACAACGACCACTGACATACTAGGACTAGGTCTTCCTAAGTCAGGCCTTGAAGCAGTATCTTTCCCCCTTACTAGCTTGAAAAAGATAGTTTAACCTTAATAGTCCAAAGATTCTTTACTTTTTATTTTCCTTATTGGGACTTTTGAAGGCTTGTGCTTCAGCATCTCCAGAGTCTTCTCTCTCCCTTGGCCAGCAGCCGCTGTCCTCCCCACTCTGTGAGGTGTCTGTTTTATCTTTCTGCTTCCGAGTTCGTTGCAAGTCTGCCATGAAGTCTATGCTCTGCTTTAGGCTCTGAATTCTTTCCTAAAAATATTCAAAAATATTCTTATTATATGTTTGGCATTAACTTTTAAAATAATGCATTTTTTCCCACAAGAGTTTGCACTTACATTGTCATTCACTAGGAAAGAAAAACAATTAAATGTAATTCTACCAAGACTGAATTATATTTAGGAACCAGCACAATAAAATCTATTCCTTCAATTTAGATCATTTAATTTCCAATATAAGTGAAAATTTACAACTTTTTTTTTTTTGCTTTTTGTCTTTTTCCGTGTCCGGCAACGGATCGCAACCCTCAGTGTCGCCCCCGTAC